ATTCTATTCTATTCTATTCTATTCTATTCTATTCTATTCTATTCTATTCTATTCTATTCTATTCTATTCTATTCTATTCTATTCCATTCCATTCCATTCCATTCTATTCTAATCACCAGGTGCTTAATATAAGAAGAGTCTGTATTACTCTCCTGGTCCCTTGGTTAAAAAAACCAGTTACTGAACTAAAGGATAGTTTATAACATCTTATCACTGAAACAAAACAATTACCCTTTGTTTAATACTATGAATCACATGTAGGACCCACAATTTTCAGTGTGACTTACTCTACTGTCACCAAGGTTGGCAATGTACAGAGTGTTATCAATCACCAGCACACAGGTTGCCGTGGAACCGTCTTTCCAAGCAGGTTTCCTGCAGGTTTCAGAAATCGGGGGGCAAAACAAAGATGAGTCCAACTACTCAAGGTGATTCTTATAAGATACCAAGTCCCCCATTACAATGATGGAAATGTGAGGCCTTATGGAACCCCACACATGTAATGCAGCAGGGATGTCAAACTGGCGGTCGTGGGCCAGGTGCATCGTGTTCAGGCCACATCCATCCCAGCTCCATGAAGGAAAAACACATCGCGAAACGTCACATGACAGCAATGTGACACCGTGAGTTTGACACTTGTGCAATACAGCCTTTCAGGTATTTTCAAGTGCAACATCCCAGAACACGTGTTGGAGTACCTTCCTCTCCTATCCAAGTTCTAAAAATAGCAAATAAATATCAGATAATATTTTTCTCAAATGGCCACCTTTCCATACACAGAAATTGGTTGATAGAAGAAAAAAATTCAAAGTTGCATCCCCTCCAACTTTCTACAGAGATTCTACTTCAAATACCTTGACATATTATATCCCCGATAAGTATATACTTACTGGCTGGAAGCCTGTTTGAGAAATTCCTCATCTGTGTGTTTAAAAGTATCCAAAATGCATCTCCTTATTGCTTTCTCCACACTGGGTACCTCTCCTGTTTTATATTCAAAGGGAACAATCAGACACCTAACCCAGAGGTTAATGGAGAAAATATTAGAAAGAATTGGCACACACACTCCAGAATTGACACCCCAGCCATTCTTTGCAGCTCTCAGAGAAAACAGAAAATTCAGCATTCATAGTGAAAGGAAAATTATTTTGCTTAATCCTGCATGAATATGGGATTAAGAAAGTCTACAAATCAAATTAATGATTTAGATTCGGTTTTACCCAAGTTATTCTTCAGGTACTGCTTGATACTGTTTAATTAACTCACACACTTAAATCAGTGTATATCTTCCAAAGGATAGTATATAAGAATATCCTATTAACAGATCCAAGTCAGTATGTGGGTCTCAACCGAAGTAGAACTCAAAGAATACCACCATATTTTCTGACCTTTAGGAAATTTTCTGATTAGGTTTTGATGCAGATTCTGTGCAGCATATGTTGAAGCTCTAACTCCTCCATGGCCATCAAAAACAGCAAAATATGAGACACGAATTCTATAAAGAACGTATAGATAAAGACTGTTCTCACTCTGAAATTGGGCACGATACTGAATTTTTATTTATCAACAGAACTGTAGAAATTGTAACATGAGATCCAGAAAAAAATTAATCTTTCCTGCAACCTACACACAGGAATGTTTCCTAGCCTCAGAAAAGCTAAAGTGATCTGTTTTACATTTTCCAGTTCCAAGACTTCCCTTAACAATTCAGTTATGAAAAGATTCCAGTACCTGTACAAGAAAATACTACACTTTAACTCCTATGGGATTTTTTATCTTGTCCTCAATGCGAATATACAGACTCTCCTTTTTCAACAGTAGGTCTGATCTCTTGGTTTGAAAAAAACCCTCTTATATTTGTTTTCCCAGGATCTTTTATGTAGGAATGTTTCTTTGCTTCAATAGATAGATAGTACTGCAGAAAAAAACAATAGGAAACAGCCTGCCTTCCACTGAGGATCTGCATGCTGCACGAACAGGAAAGAGGGCAGAGAAAATATCTACCTCACATACTGGACATGATCTATTTCAACTTCTCCCCTCAGGGTGCCACTATAGAGCATTGCATGCCAAAACAACTGGATTTTCCCCTCTGCCATCACTCCGCTGAATACTTGATTCCCATAGCACTGTCTCACTTCTCATCTTTTCTCATCTTTCCTACTATCCTATTGGTTTCTTATGATTTATCAATTTTTGTTTGTAATTGATTAATAATTTTAACTATGATTTATGACCAATTACTTGTTTATATATACATGGTGAGCTTATGCACCTGAGACAAATTCTTTGTGTGTCCAATCACACTTGGCCAATTCTATTCAACAAAGATGAAGATATGCTGATATTTAGATATTTTATTATTTATAACTATTTTCTTGCCGATATTAGTTTATATTATGTTATATTTGTTTTACATATGTTATATTTAGATATAAGTGCATATTAAATAATATTGCATTATGGTTATCAATGCCTTATATATACATGAAGACTGTGATGTCAAATTACTTAATACACAGGTTTAATATTATGTTCCAAGTGGGAAGAATCTTTACTTTCCTGGTTAATGTAAAAAGTAAAAGAAGATCATGCTAAAGATGTAAGTTATTAAGAAATGCTCGTCTGGAATAAGCTAGAAACTCAAAATATAAAATAGATCTATTAAAAAAGAGCATATACATATATTGTATATACATAATTACTTATCAATATTTTTAATTCAGTTTTGGGGGGGAGTTAATGCTTTATTTTCTTCCCAATCATTCTTTGGGGAAGAATTTGTCATTTTATTCTGCAAAAATTTAAATTTAAAAATGTGAATGTTCTGACATCTTTTTTAGATGTCTTGGATTCTCTTTTTAGTCATGGTTCCTAAAATCAGTGACATTTAAAATTATATATATATATATATATATATATATATATATATATATATATATATTGCATCATTATAGCATTATAGAAAACAAAAAACAAAATAGTTATTTATTTTGTAAAGCAAAATAAACCAGCTGAAGTTACCATCCAGACAAGCAATTAAACCCAGGAGGAAAACACAAAAATCCAATCAAAAAGTAACTACGTAACTCACATTTGAGAGGACAAGGGACTGCACTCTTCTGTGATATCATTCAAAATAACATGGGCATCTTGCATCTCTTCTCGCTCACCTTTCCTCTCTGCTACGTAACCTTTCAAACCAAGAATACCTGCAGAATCTAAAGAAAAACAGAGCAAAATGCACCCATATTTAATCCCTGAACATGTTTCCTGTGTAATAGCACTACAGTCAGCTATCAAAAATAAGGACCAGAATTCTAACAACCTCTTCATTATAATCCATGCTGAAACTGTAAATAGTACCTCTGACTGAAAATCTGAACATCATGCTAAGAAAAGCTTATCCAACAGCCATCACATTATAATTCAGGTGAAATATTTAGAGACTGTGTTTGGGTTTCTATATTTAACCTGGGGCAAGTTTAGCTATGATGCTCCCTGCATCACTAAGGGGATAAATAAGGACAGGCTTCTCACACTGCATAAACCATATCTAATATTTTGGTTTAGCTTGATGTTTGGACCTATTCACTATAGCTGATAAATCATGCACTGAGTCAACAATTTAGATAATCAGCAAGTCATTATTAAAACCATGCCATAACACAGTGTCCTAGGCAAAATGACACTAGGATGTGCACAATACAGGAGCAACTAAGTCATGTTGCTCCAAATAATATAAATTTGGCAACACACAGAAAAAAATACATGTGGCACAATGAATACTTTGGGATAGCCTTCAAATTTGTACTAATTACATTAGGTAATCTTAATTATGTATATATTGTTTTTGCAAACAGAATCCAATCAGGTTAAAAAGCAATCTGTATGCTTAATTTTTTAAACATAAGAATTATAAAAGTGGCAGCTGTGAGAAAAATAGTAATACTTGATGCTGACTTGAGTTCTGTGAAGGAATGCAGCTAATACATATGACAGCAGCATGATCGTAATTCTTAAGTGAAAAAGGATTTGCATTGGTACCCTTAAGGAAGGAGAAACACAAATTCATCTAAGGTAGAAATACTCAGGAAGGATTTCATCTATGTACAGCAATTCCTCCCATTCTTATGAGTGGCTACAAGCAAAACCATCTTAGGAAAACAATTTCACTTTTTTATTATTTAAAGCAGCACTAGAATAGAATAAAATATTTGGCTTCAGAGTGTCTGAAAACCTTTACAAACTTTCTTTTCCACAAGTTCTTCACTCCCATTCTTCTCTCCTTCAATGGACTTCCTCTTCTCTCCCTTCCCATAGCTCACAGGAAGAGAAACTTGCTCAGTGGGATGAGAAGCTGAAAAACAAAAAAATGTTATTTATTTCATTATAGACTTTATATGGCCACCCATCTTAGTCAAAGAATTTAGCACAATAAAATCAGTTCATAAAACACCATGTTAAACCCACAATATACATAATGAAAAGAATGAGATGCCTTGCAACCACTTCCCAGCACACATAAAATACTGATACGTTAACTGGGCACCAATAAAAACTGAGTGCCAGAGGGGAAAAAACACATATTCAAGTTTTCCAAAGGACTAACAGGGCTAGTAGGAAACTTGGGCCCTGAGCTATGAAGCTTTCAAGATGGAAGCCAGCATCTTGAACTCGACTTGGAAAGCCTACTGTGAGCCAGTTCAACTCAAATAACAGCAGTGTTCTGTAGGCATACTTTGATGTGCCCTAAATGGCAAATGGTGACACATTGTATACTACTATTATTCTGTTAACTAATTATGCTTGAGTTTTTCCTTTAGCTTAGATTGGCTTTAATATTTTGAAATAAAAAACCAAGGTTGTCATAAATTTTGATATTTAAAATTGAAGTAAAAAGGCCTAATTGTACACTACATGGAAATGCAGGCCAATAAAATAAAGGAACAGCTGCTTTAGAGCAGTGGTCACCAACCAGTGGGCCGCGACCCACTGGTGGGCCATGAGAAAATTTTGGTGAACCGCAGAGAAATCTCACCCCCAGAGCACCCCCACAAAGCAATTAATCCAGGCTGCGTAGAAACACAAGGCTGCTCAGCCCACATGGCCCGCAGGAACCCTCCCTACCCGCCCACTCACTCCTTACCCGGCAAACTTGTCTGCTAAATTGCTATTTTTCCTTCTTCTGACCATAATCTGTTCTGCTATGCTGGGAGATTTAGATTAGCCAGGAAGCAGGAAATGGTTGGATTTCTTGCTTTCTAGCTAAGCACAGCCAAATCTCCCTTAGGACTGAAGGTTTGCTTGCAAGCAAATTCAGTGCAGACTCACCGCAAGCAATTTTGAGAGACTGAGCTAGCCGATGGCAGATAGATAGATCACTGAATGATTCTGTGAGCAACTCAATCTGCCTGCTTTGCCTGATTTTGGGTAAAAGTTGCTCTTTTTTAAAATAAAAAATTCAATATTTACATGCATGGTGTGTTGTGAGTTAATTTTGTGAGTTTGCTTGCTAGCAAATTTTATGAGTTTGCTTGCAAGCAAATTTTATGTGACAGACTGAGCTAGCCCATGGCAGATAGATTTCTGAATGAATCTGTGATTCTGTGAGCAACTCAATCTGTCTGCTCTGCCTGATTTTGGTAAAAGTTGCTCTTTTTTATAAAAATAATTCAATATTTATATATTTATAATATTTACATATAAGCCATGCCCAGCCAGTCACATGACCACCAAGCCACACCCACAAATTAGGCCACGCCCACAGAACCAGTTAGTGGTCCCTGGGATCTAAAATTATGAGTTTGGTGGTCCCTGAGGTCCAAAAGGTTGGCGACCCCTGCTTTAGAAGATTAATTTGGACCAACTACTCAGGGAACATGCTGAACCAATTCCCTGATTGCTATTTCTCCACAAATATTGATCTGAGGTAAATTTGTGTCGATATTTATGGCCTCAGCAATAGCAGAGTAGTAATCTCACCCTAGTCAAGTACTTGATTAGTATCATAACAAAAACATGAACAGCATAGAAATTCTCTAATCTGAAAAAAGGAAAATCAGAGAGACATTTTACCGTTTCTTCTAATATCATTTTAGACACATTGCCTGTGTGCATTTAGTGTAAACCACAGGTACTTAAACAGGTAACACTCAAGTGTAACTCTATTAGAGCATCGTAATAAATAGCAAAATAAATTTAGTCATGGCTCACCTGAGTTGCCACTGCTGGCAGGTGGGAGGTCATCAAATAGCAAAGAGCCTCCTGCTCCTAAAAAAAAACCCAACCAAACAAGGAAATACATAACAGTATTTAGATTTTTGAGCAGTTTCATCTACAAAAAACTCTGCCAAGCTTAACAGCTACTTAACATTTTAGCCATTTCACATATGGCACTAAATCCAATTCATAAAATGAAGAGGAAAGCACTAGGACTGCAAATACTTCTAAGTAAGTATAATATTATACTTAGAAGTAGGCCTTACAAAATAGCTTTGAAATAGACATGGAAAAGATTATGTTCATTATCCATATTAAAATATAGCTTATAAAAAGACACATAACTAGAGGTAGACAGAAATTTATTTTAGTCATTGACCAATAAAACTAACTAGAAGTATGAATTGTTAATTTAAGTCATAGTAACATTTCTTTAAAAGTAAATTAAAAATTGGCAGTGTATTTAGAAATTTTGTTTCAAAAGAAAACTATCTGATATGTCAGTCAGTACTGGTACCAATATAGGATGTAAGTAGAAGCTGAATCTGTACCAGCCACCCCAGGAAATGAAACTGGATCTTGCAAAATGTGTTACTCCAGCAACCAATGGCTTTCCCATAACTATATATTTCTAAAAATTATCTTCCTGTTTATATATCTATCTCCATATAAAAGTATTCCCTTTAAGAAAAAGATTCAGAGTTAAATAACTGTGGAGTGGTTATAGTATTTTTGTACGCTGTTCAATTACGGCACAAGGATAGAATGAAACAAAAGAATGGAGAACATAGAACCTAAGATTCAGCTTTTGCTTTCCTACTACCAGTCCTTCTATTATTTACAGTTCCATTGCTAGAAAATAATCTTAGTTACATCTAAATGCATAATAAAATGGAGTCTTGCCTAGGGACAGCAAAATTAAGCTTGCAAAAATGTCAAAAGTAAAAAGGACTGGTTTAAATGCCTCTTTGCACCAATATGATGCAAACAAGAAGTCCATAGAGAATAAAACAAGTAAAAAAAGTCAGAACTTGCCAACAGAAAAATCCTATAGTCAAGTTGGCAAATTCCTGGCTATTCGGACCAGATAAACTCACTGAATTTCCACGCCCTCTAAGGAGAATTTTGCACAAGGGCTCAAGTAGCTGATTGAGAAAAGCAAGAGAATTCAGAGTAACACAAGACATGACAATCATACCCAAATCACTGTTGCTGATTGGAGGAAGATCATCAAAAAGCAGAGATCCTTTCTGTCCCTCTTTCTCTAAACAAAACCAAATAAAACAAAACCAAATACAGAGTAATCTATTAACATACAGTATTCAAAAATAGGACTGCCAAATAGAGCTGCAAAAATTCAAAGACTGCCAGGCGACATCAAATAGTAAACACTTTTTGACACATCTTTGTTTCGTTTAGCTGGTGTCCAGTTTTTTACACATTACTTTTTACAACTTTAACATTATTATGGCAAGAGCAATCCTATCGCCAGGTAATTGCCTCACCCTTCTAGCTATAAAACTGGTGGGAATGGCTGTTCCTCAGGATTTGGCTGTTAGGAGCCACCCGGGCTTCTCAGGTGTTACTTGCGCCCGCCAGAGGTCACCCCCGAGTGTCAATAAGAGACTCGTGGATTTCCCAGTGGGGTCACAGGCGCATGCGCGTTGACTCGTGCTTGACAGAGCGGGATTAATTCTAAGCATTACAGCATTACAGTTGTGACTAGAACGTCACAAGGGTCCGAGAGAGCCGCTTCTGCTCCTTCGGGAAACTGCAGCAAGGCAACACGGAAGGCTCCTGGGAAAGAGAAGCTAACCCAGCTCGCCTGTTTCCTGCAGACTCGGGCCCACTCCTCCTCCAACATGGGGGTGGGGGCGACCCCAAAAGGGACCCGCCACTCACCTACTGCTGCTACTGCCGGAGGAGTTGGCTCCGGAAGGTCCCCGAACAGATCCATCCAGCCCTAACGAGGCTACAGCGGCACCGGCCAGCGCGAGCCGCTCCCTCCCCCCTCCTCCTCCTCGCGCAAAGGCGGGCCTAGCTGTCAATCATTAGCGTCAGGGTGACTCAAGCGCCGCCTTCGCACTCCGGCCCTCAAGGCGACGGTCGCGGTAATCTTGGGGAGGCTAAAACCAGCGAGAGGGCTCGTTCAAGTGGCCGGAAGGTCCTGAGTCCGAAGACGCCTCTGAATTGTTTTTGAGGTCTGGTCTCTGTGGCCCCCAACAAAGGGCGGCGGGCGTAGCCCAGCTGCTTCCGGGGCGGTTCCTCGGCTATCTCCTTCCAGGGGAAAGCCCTGGAAGGAAACCTGAGGAGGGCCGGTCTGTGTGATACTTTCTGTGATCTGGAAGAAGAGCTCAGCCTTCTTCCGCTTGGGGAGGCGCTGCAGCTTCTGGTCCCCACTCCCGATGGCTCCGAAGGTGGATCGTCTCGTACGACTGGAAGGCTCTCGGCCATCGCTCCAAGCCCCAAGGAGCATCATGAGATTATACAGTAGCTCGATATCTGATAATTCATAGATTAAAAACTGAAAGTGCCACATCTGCTGCCCGAGTAGCCCTAGCTTCCTGCGGGGGGAGCAGAACGAGTAGCATTCAGGATTCAGGGCTGGTCGGTTGTACTAATAGCAGGTGATAATGTCACCGGACCTTTCTGTCGGCCCACAAACGTTGACCTTTAATTTAAATAGCAAGCATGGTCATATAATAGCTGGAGTGTCCATATTTGGGCTGCAAAAATCCTAAAAGTAGTTTCGTACTTTTTCAGATTTTTTGCAGCCGAGATGCGGTAACCATAATTTTATCCAAGTGCCAGTAGTGGAGCATGGGCGATGGACAGCAGCAAGTTGAAAGAACAAAGCAGGGGACCACACCATCACTGGAAATTGTTTGCTAAGATTTGTTTACATTTTTACTTATAATTTGAGTAACACTGTTACTAAGGTGTAATTCTATTTCAGCATCTTAATTACATTACATACAGATTTTTGCTACTATGATGTGATGATGAGGAACTCTTAAAATGGTTAGGAGAAATGTATGGAAATTATAGATTACTTCCAATCTGTGCCAGGTGCCCCAGTAGATTATTGTTGAACAACCCTTAAGTTCACAATAAGGCTTTTACAATTACAAAATACATGAATTTGATGACAAATGGCATGTGAAGTAGAAAAATTAATTCAGGGCCAAAAGAAGCAGGGTGAATTTACCAAAATTAGCAACTAAAATGCCACTTGTATTGGATGCTTGTATTTTCAGAAGCCTTGAAGCCTCCAGAGTCAGGGCCCTTTTATTCCACTAAATACTCTTGGCAAATGTGCACTTGGTTGTATTTTTTAAGTATCAAATAAACGCTTATCTCACCTAATCTAACTATTGCTAAAGTTTTTATAACAAATGATACAATCACATTTGTAATGCAAATACAAGCATGGTGAACCCATTGTCTCTTAGTTTGGGAGATAGGATTTGTAGTTAAATACATATGGAAATGAGGTCTCTACAATGTGCTAAATTTCAGTCAATTACATCACAGTTCTGTAGCAGGAAGTAGTTTGCTGATTGTGCCTCTACCAAATTGATCGCAAAATCGTTTTTTGCCAGTGCTGGCAATCCAGCACTTTTCTATGTATAGCACACTTAGTTGTGATAGATTCTGTAGCTCAATTATGGAAAGCTAACATTTCTATACCCTGTCATATGACAGGGGGGGAAAGCCTGCATGGCTGTAGATGGAAATTGAAAAAGAAATTGCAGAAATACTACTGCAGGAATGGATGTTTGCTGCTGCCTCTGCCACTAGAATTGAGGTTTGAAGAAACGAATTAACCATCAAATCAAATTCAGATGATATGTGGAGGTGTAATCAATTATTATGTAATCTGAATCAATTATGTCAATTTGGAGAGATGTGGCCACAATCTGGACTATTCATGTTTCGGACAGCATATTATTTCAAACCACAGTATGATTTACTGTTATCATTTTTACACAGTTAATCATTTCATGGAGTTTTCCCTTATGAATTGAAATGATTATTTTGCAGCACATGTTTATTTCTGGTTACTTCTGGCATTCAAACGATTTTTATGATACAGCAACTTTTGATTTTTAAAAAAAGGTCAAAAACACAGCCTAGTATTTGCATAAATGCCACATTTATTTCTTTTACTGAACAGTGCCTGAAGTGTACACAAACAGTTTAAGACCCTAATTTCCAACACTCATAATTTAAGACATCAAGAAAACTAGACTCATTACTTCAGTATTGTTATTTATACAGTGGTAAGGGTGTTCCCACAGCAATCACGTATATACTGTACAAAGCAAGAGAAATAGTCTCCCAGCATTTGGAGATGGCATCACAGGAAGAACTCATGTAGACAAACTAGATAATGGAAGCACAGGCAAAATAAGAAAAATTAAATAACTATAACCTGTTATTATACAGAAAGATCTTGATACTGAATCTCAGCTTATGAATGTTAGAAATCCTCCATACTGTATATGCAGTTGAATACATGACAGAAAAAGAGACGGTAATAGCATATTAAACAGTTAAATGCCTTGTGTTATAGCCGCAAGTTACCAGAGGTATGCAATTTACTTGTGGTATTTTTTTATTCTTGGCTAATTATGTTCCTTTCATTTCTGTTGCTTTATGATGATATTCAAGTCTATCGTGCTGGAGTAATCTACTGGTAAGTGATAGAAAGAACTTCTGCATGGGATAAGTGCCTCTCAATTTAGTGTGTGCAGCTGAAGAAACAGAAAACTGTGCCACTCAGTAAATAAGCATCAATCTCCAGCATGTATATTATGGAAATGTGTGAGTTAGTACAATACCATGGTGTTCTTTTATATCATTACAATAACTAATTTCCCTCTTGAGGTTGCCACCAAGGGTATGGAGTATAAGAAAGCAGAGTTAAAAATTTACCCTGTTGCATTTCATGTTAAGTTTCCTATTGATAAGGCTCCAAAATATGAACATAGTAGGGGAAAAACAAATAAGAACTTTCTTTTCAACAAAGGCCTTGTTAGTGGAACTAAGTACTTAGTTCCAAAAACATTTTAAACAGTTTAAAATTTTACATTCAAACAAAGTCAAAAGGATTATAATAAATCAATAGAGATTCATCTATTTCAGCTGAAGTCTGGATAGTATTTCTTAGCAGCTTGATTTTTTTCCAGCAATGAATGAAGCAGCACCCTCAGTAATACAGAGGCCAAGAAAAATGATCTGCTGGTGATTAGGTCTTCACTACCCTGTTATAAATAACAATCATTTGAGGATATTCACTCAGCCGAAAGCTGCATCTTGCTTGATATATGACAAGTTACAGTCAATATGCTGAGATCAGAATTCACCAACTCATTGTTATCTATTATTTTTACATTCTGCTCAAAATATTTCTGCTCATCCTAGTGGCTTTGGGTCAAACCTTTCATCTCAACTCAAAACTCATGTTCTTTGTAGGTTTGCTGGCCCAAGAAACATGAAATAAAGCATGAGATCAAGCTTTAACCCAACCATTGCACCATGGAAGGACATGCTCTTCAGGTTGGCTGACCTAAGGCATGCTCCACTATTCATTCGTCCACAATCCACTCGAGCATTTTTTCTTTTTTCTGTTTTTATTTCCAGTGCAGTTGATAGTATATATTTATTGACTGCTTAATATGAAGAGCTAAATATATACAAGCAAGAATACTGACATAACTACTTCATTCATTGTTGTTATAATGAAATATCTGACAATTTCAGATTTGTACAAGGAACTAAAAGACTTTTCAGGTACCTGATTTTGTCTCAATAATAAGGATATTCTGATCCTTTTGATTTTTGCATCTCCTGAACTGTGCTGGGTGGGAATAATATCAGCTCTATAGTGCGGTACAGTATTCACAGAGGATGCCATTTATAGAAGTTTTCATACAGAACATATGCTCAAAAAGAACAAACTTTTCTAACTTCTATAAGTTTCTCCTTTATTTAAAAGAGTACATTACTTTTCAGATGACTAAGCCTGTGGTCCTCTGCACACCTACCTGGGGAAAAAGCCCCATTGTGAAACTTGCTAACTAGAAATCATTTGCAGAGTATACTAAGTGTGGTTGTTTCTCAGAGGAAGTATGCCCAAGTTCAGATGCTTTCTTCAAGTTGACTTCCAACAGCTAGAGATTTTAGGAAACCTACATTTCAACAGTGCTCATTTGCTGTTTACATATTTTATTTGGTCTAATTAAATAATTAGTTTGGTGGGTGATAGGCCAGATATTAATAAGAGAGCAAGAATCAATCTTAAATGAAAAACTGAGAATCGAATTTCTATGAGATAATTTAATGTTTAGATTTAGCATGTTTCCAGAATTAGGATGATATATAGTGCCAGAAAATCATTGTTTCTCACTGTAAATTATAACCTGAAGCACAGTGGACTTTCTACATTGAAATCCCACTTTTTCTATAAAAAAAAAAGGCTACTATATTCCATTCACTGAACACCTGTCTTACCTATCTTATCTGTCTTTCTATCATCTGTCTTCATCATAGGATCAGAATATGGCATTTTTTAAAAAATCAATTATTTGCTACAAAATGCTCTAATGCAACTATTTAAATATATAGCAAAGTATTGTCAAATCTTCTAATTAAATAGTTAAACTGTGTCATAGATTTTAATAAAACTTCCTTTTGAGAGGGAACAAGTATCTCATAGCTTCCTTTGAGAAGTTGTTGCAAATGGAATAATCAAGAACAGAGTTGCTTTAGAGATAAGTGGTCCCCAATCTGTAGCTTAGAGAATGTTAGATAATACCTGGCATGGACCAAAATAAAAATTCTTCAAATCTAATACAAAAGGTTAATCAGTTCACCAAATTTTGGCATATTTACCCCAAACTTCATAGTATGATTTCAGCCATTTATTTAAAAAACCATTTATTTTTGAGGTTTTCTGGATGGTCATTTCTGGTGCCCACAAGCATTATAATGCTAGTCCTTGACTTATGTGGTGCTCCCCAAAACCGTTGCTGATAATGTAGTATCTATGTAAAGGAAAACATTGGAAACTACTGTTTTAAATCAAACATATAATCTGCCTTGGTTTTTTTTTAAAGAACAACTAAATGAATTGCAAGGGTTAAATGAAAAAAATGTTTTGAAAAAGGAACTGCACTATAAAAGAGGAATTGGCCTTGCAGTGAGGAATTCATGGCAAGGAATACAAAAATAAAAGCAATCCCAAATGTCGATGACAAATCTTCCTAACTATCCTAATTTAGATAGTTTTCCCACCCAGCACAGCTTTAAATAGATGTTACTGCTTATTTATTAATTTCCCTAAAGTGTGATTTTCTTCAGTTTTAAAAAAAGACAGGAGCACCACTAGAAAAACACAAGGGTTACTGGAGGATGACTTTGTGGTGTTAATTCCTCATTAAATGTGAATGAACAAGACATACACAATTTTACTGTAAACACATTGTCTGGAAGCAGCTTCAGGCTGGAAAGCTGAAATGAATAAAACTGCCTATCAAGGCTGTTTTAAAGTCATTATTATAATTCTTTGCTATTTTGCAAACACAGAGTAAATAATGAAGATTAAAGTAAATAAAAGTGTCACTTGACAATCTCTTAAACCTTCTCACTGAAAGGGCAGTAAAAATACCTTTCTTGTGCATTTAAATCAGGGTAACACATTCTGCCCAAACAGTTGTCCCAACCTAATTAGTGTTTGACTGATCAGAATTAAGAACTAGTGCTAATAATTCTTAAAAGAGCAAGACAAGTGTTTATGTTAGATAAATGAATGGAAACCTGGATTCCTCACAGATTTGCTGAACTAGTTTCCAGCATCATTATGCTTCTGGTTAGTTGCAGTTTAGCAATGTCTGGAGGGGTCCATGATTCTCAATTTTGACCCCAGATCAGTAAGATATTGG